CTGAACTCTGCTACCAAATAGGATGCACAGAAGTGAAAACCAAAGAGCAGCAATACCTGTAAGCTTGATCTTGGACAAGCGTGCCAAAATCCCTGGCAAATCCTCCAGCTTTAGCTTCATCTCTTTCCATTGTCTGTCTTCTTTGGATTCTGCTTTTACTGCTGGGAAGCACTCTTCAGTTTCTGCAGCTGACTTCATTTCTCTCAGCTCATTTCTGCTTGGTGCCTCACACCAAGGCTGATGAACAGGTGAAATTGGGCTGATCTTGTGTATAACCTTTTTGTCCTGATCCAATTGCTGAAGGTCACGGAAAGGAGACACAACTGCATCAGGCTTGGGTTTGGCTCGTTGGCTGAGGTCGTTGTTGTACTGTGTTACATACTAAATACAATGAGAGAGATTGAAATGAAGAGTTAAGAAGATATTTCTGCCCATTTCATGTTAACACCACCAATATTATTGCTATATTAGCCTTACGGTTATACAGGAATTACTTCCTGCATGAAATGACCGAGTTAGTCTGAATTTCCAACACTTACTTCACATGCAAAAAGGTTTCTGAAGTTGGCCAAGATGTTACAAAAGCAGCTTTTCAACTCACAGCTGTACCAATAATGTTTACTTCAGCGTGGAGCATTGCTTCTGGATAAATCTACTTCCTCCCCCACAGCTTCAACAGTAAACTCTACTTTATTCATGTTCAAACCCATCAGGTAATATCACCTGATCAATTCACAGAATCACTGAACATTAAGGTTGGAAAAGACCCTCGAGATCATCAAATCCAACCTCTGGCTGAACAAAACTCACCTTTAAGCAGAGAGGTACACAGATCCAGTCTCCAATATAAGCACTAAACTTTTGCATCTCTAAGAGATGAAAAATGACCAAAAATACAATCTGCCTCCTATGACATGAAATCATCTCCCACTTCCAGCTATTCCTATTTATGCCAAACTCTATGCTAATTAACTAGGCAACAATTTTCAACAGGAGTTCAAATGAACACATATTGCACAGCAAGTCAGGAGACAGTTGTTTGCTCTCATTCAGAGCTTTCAGAACAAACACAGAATAAAAGAGCATTTACCTTCTCCTTTCTATTCTCTTCCCCAAAATACTCTCTAGATTTTAAGCACAAGAGGTACAAAAAGATTGAGCTTTCAACTAATCCTGGTGTAAAGTACAGAGTCATGATTATAATGAGAAAGAGAGATATGAAACTCTGATTATAGATCAAATCAGTAGCACAAGAAACAACTTGCAAAATGCTGGAGATCCCCAAAAAGCATGGGAGATCCTCAGCTCCTGCTTCGTGCAGGACTGAAGCTCAAATAATCCCCACAGCTGTGTGTGCTCCTTACAGGCAAAGCAGCCACAGCTGTGAGACTTAGTCTTATCCCTATCTCATGGATGAGGCTCCAAAGTTCAACAAAGAGGACACAACTCAGAAAGGAGCAAAATATGATTTCACTACCACCCACATCCATGTGATACAACTGTTCAAAGAAGAAGACACAATTTCAAGGGTTAGAGTGATAATTACAGCTCTAATCCCTCAAACTAACAGCACACTGTGACTCCAACCCATTAACAAGCTCAGGAGTTTTGATTAAAATCAACTGATTATCTCAGCACACATTCACATCCACAGGTCCATCTACCACTTTTGTATCTGCTGGCCAAGACTTGACTTTCTTTTTAGCAGTTTTATAAATAATGATTAAAGAATCATTGCATTTCATGTTTCTCAGCAGGAGATGAGTGTCCTGCTGCAAAGGCACAGGAAGATTCCTGTCAAGCAGGAGAGACTCTGTAACACAAAGCACTGTCCTTGCTACAACAGGTTTCCTCCAGACTCAAATGTTTTACATACCAAGTGCTTAAACTCTGATGCAGTGAAAAAAGAAGACACTTGAAATTCATATAGTCATAGAATCAACCAGGTTTGAAAAGACCTCAAAGATCATCAAGTCCAACCCTACTGTGGTTACTAGACCATGGCACTAATTGCCACATCCAGTCTCAGCTTGAAAACCTCCAGGGATGGTGAATCCACCACCTCCCTGGGCAGCACATTCCAATGCCTGAGCACTCTCTCTGGAAAAAATCTCTTCCTAATATCCAACCTAACCCTCCCCTGGCAGAGCTTGAGTCTGTGCCCTCTTGTCCTGCTGCTGGTTGCCTGGGAGAAGAGACCAACCCCCACCTGACTCCAACCTCCTGTCAGGGAGTTGCAGAGGGTGAGAAGGTCTCCCCTGAGCCTCCTCTTCTCCAGGCTGAACACCCCCAGCTCCCTCAGCCTCTCCTCATGGCACTTGTGCTCCAGTCCCTTCACCAGCCTCGGTGCTCTTCTCTGGACCTGCTCCAGCCCCTCAATGTCCCTCCTGAGCTGAGGGGCCCAGAACTGAGCACAGGATTGAATTGTCCAAGTTTGTCTGATCAGAGAAATATTACTTCTATCAACAAAACTCCAATTTGACCTATCACATGGGATGAATGAGAAACATGGGATAAATCCACTCCCTGACTTACCATTCGTTTGAGAAAGTTGAAGTACTGAAATGTAATCAACCTGTTGTTGGCTACATGGCAAAGGTGCACGAACTGGCACGGGATGTGCCGTGCGCCACAGCTCTTCAGGTGCCACACAAAGAGTCCTGTTCAGGGGGGAAAAGAAAGATAACATTAGAGCCCAGTTTTTCTCTGCCACTGAGTTTTCTCCTAATTCAGCCTACAGTGTCTCTTGTCAGCTGTGACACAGGACAACAAATGGAAATCAGGCCTGGTCAGCTGGGGAGAAACATGTTTGCTGCTCCAGATGAAACACCTGGAAGTGGAGAATCATGGAATCATTAAGGATGGAAAAGATCTCTAAGGTCATCAAGTCCAACCATTCTCCCAGCACTGCATAGTCAACCACGAAACCATGTCCCTAAGCACCACATTCACGTGTTTTTGGAACCCTTCCAGGGACCACCTCCCCAAGTGCTGCATCCACATGTCTTTTAAATATCCCCAGGGATGGTGACTCCACCACCACCCTGGGCAGCTGTGCAGGCCTTGACCACCCTTTCAGTGAAGAAATTCCTCCTAATATTTAACCTGAACCTCCCTTGGTGCAGCTTAATACTGTGTTTTCTCATCCTGTGGCTAGTTGTCTGGCAGAAGAGGCTGATCCCCACCTGACTCCAACCTCCTTTCAGGGAGTTGTAGAGACTGATAAGGTCACCCCGAGCCTCCTTTTCTCCAGGCCAAACACTCACAGTTCCCTCAGCTTCTCCTCATAGCACTTGTGTTCCAAATCCTTCACCAGCTTCACTGCCCTTCTCTGGACACACTCCAACACCTCAATGTCCTTCAAGAAGTGAGAGGCCCCAAACCCACAAATGTAAGTGTACCCTAATCCTTTGGGGATTTTCTTCCATACCTCCCTGAGATGCACTTTGAGCTTACTGCACCACTATTCCCTTTGTATGGTATCAACCACATGGCAAAGCAGCTCTGGAAAGCAGCAGCTGCTCTAGGGCAGCACCAAAGTCAAATACATGCAGAGGACACAGAGCAGAGTGTGACACAGAGCGAGATCCCATGCAAGGGACACACAGAGAGGGACACACACAGAGGGACACAGACAGGGAAGTACACATGGGGGCACATAGAGGAAAACAGACAAAGGGAAATGAGAAAAATTGAGGAAAATACACATGGGGGACACAGAGGGACACACAGAGGGACACAGAGGGAAATACACATGGGGGACACAGAGGGACACACAGAGAGACACAGAGGGAAATACACATGGGAGACACAGAGAGAAACAGAGGGACATACAGGGAAATAGACACGGGGACACAGAGGAACACATGCAAGGACATGCACAGGGACATACACAGAGGGACACGAGCAGGGGACACACAGAAGGAAATACACAGGGACACGCAGGAGACACAGAGGGACACATCCAGGGGGACACAGGGCACACACAGAGGGAAATACACGGGGACATGAGCAGGAGACACACAGAGGGACACACAGGGCACACACAGAGAGAAACACACAGTGACACGAGCAGGAGATAAAAAGAGGGACACATACAGGGACACACAGTGGGAAATACACAGTGACACAAGCAGGAGACACACAGAGGGACACAAGAAGAGCACACAGCAGGAAATACACGGGGACACGAGCAGGAGACACACAGAGGGACACAGAGGGCACACACAGAGGGAAATACACAAGGACACACGTGCAGGACAGGAGACCCACAGAGGGAAATACACAAGGACACACGTGCAGGAGACACACAGAGGGAGACAAGCAGAGCACACACAGAGGGAAATACACAAGGACACACGGAGAGAAACACACAGGGACACACAAGCAGGAGACACAGAGGGACACATCCAGGGGGACACAGGGCACACACAGCGGGAAATACACGGGGACACGAGCAGGAGACACACAGAGGGAAATACACAGGGACACAAGTAGGGCACACGTGCAGGGACACAGCAGAGAACACCCAGAGGACACTGGCGGCTGCGGCTCCGCTGCACTGCGGGGCTCGGGGCTGA